TGCCTCTTTTTTTTTTTTTTCTCATCTTCATATATCTTTGCTTTTTATTGTAGAGTGCAGCGCCATTTACAATAATGACATTGCATAGTGTACAGTGAATGAAGAAATTAAGTTGCATGTTGTGAGCAGTAACAGTCCACAACAGGTCTAGAATCACTCGCATGCACAACTGCAAATTGACTGTTGAAGTGCCAAGGAGCCCCTGTCAAGTAGCATGTGTGCATGTGACTTTTCACTTTCTTTCAAAATATAGCTCATACAAAAGGAAAGGTTCACAACCTTCCCTCTAAAGCTCTGACTGTTTTTGTGCACCATGGGCATTTCATACTTTACAGACAGTATCCTCACCAGCTGACCTACATGCTTAGCTAATTAATAAAAAAAGCAAAGAGATGTGATAGTGGTACCAATGCTGTTTTGCTAGCAACTGCCTTGTAGAACCAGGTGAACTTCTCTGTGAGCATTGATTTTTTAATCAGAGAAAATATATTGACCAGATTTATTGCATAACTGTTTAACTCACATAAAATTTCCCACCATGTTTGAAAGCATTGTGTCCAATTGTTCACAGCTCACTGCATCTCTCCTAGTTGTTTTTTCCTCTCTTTTTATGTGCTTCAATGTTATGGAGCATTTGCTTTGCACGAAGGTGCAAAGTAAATGCACAACAACAGTGCTTTCAAAAAGGTTCTTTTCTTAATGGTTTAACTCTACTGAGTAGCTCATGCTAAGAAAAAATGACAAGGCATCAGATTTCCAATCAGTTGCAATTAGGATCAAGCAGCCACATCACACTATTCAGAGTCAAGTTTCATTATATCAGGGTTCTTCCTACGATGGGTGGCGTAGGAAATGCCTCTCAGCACATTAAATCACCACTCACTGCTCTAGCTCACCACCCCACTGCTTTCAATAGATTGCCCATTGCTTTGATTGTCCTTTGAAATGTGTGCCTGATGAACCAATACATAATGGGCAATTCTGCATGTACAATGTCAGCGAGCTGTGCCTCGTGCCACCTGGCTGGGTAAAAAGGAGCCTGTCCAGGTGGCCTTGTGGTTTAAAAGATTGTGAACTTTCTAAGTACATCATGAATATCACAACCTTTATATATACAATATATAAAGGTTGTGGCTACAAAATGAAATATACAGAAATAGGGCCAAGAGCCAGGGACTGACTAAATACAAGGTAACATTGCTACAGCAGTTATAGTTTAGAGTACTAACAGTGAACAATCAAATAAACAAATAAAGAACTATAAAAACTAAGAGAACATATATAAAACAGATTTGAACATGAGTAAAAAGAACACTTCTACGACATGCATAATAAGCAACATATAAAAATAAGGAAAAATTGAACAAAAAAGTAAGAGTTGTACGTATTAGCAATTCCAGAAGTAATCAATGAACAAAATATCAATAATAGCATATAATAGTGACAATGCAAATTTGTACATTACATAGTACATACACAACAGGTTGAATAAAAGTGGAGCAAGACAAGATAAGTTTTTTAGGTTTATTAATGAATGAGTACAGTGATGTTGATCCTAAAAATAACAGGCAGTGAATTCTACAATTAAAAAGCACTGAAACATCAAAACTTATGCCAGATCTGTCTGCCCCAGTTTAGGGCAGCAATAACAAGTACTTTAAAACCCATTTTGAAAGTATTATTGCAACCTGAGAGAGGCATGTGGGTGTACTCAGTTCACACCATTATTCATAAATTGCACCACTACTTTGAAACATTGCAAAAAAATACCTATAGAATATGCAGTGAACTGGAAACAACGGACATGATGCTTTCTAATTAAGCTAGCAATTTGTCATGCGAGCTTTAAGCAATTTTGCAAGTAATTGGTGATTAGGCTAATTCAGTTTTGCATTATTCAGGGAAGTAATCCTAACAGAAAATCAGAAACAACAATTTGCAAAAGGTGGTGGCAAATAAAACACTGCTGGTCCCATGTCTTTGTATCTAATTGTCCCTTTCAGTAATTATCTTTGCTTGAGTAAGTTGGTACACACTGTATGCCCATGACTGTTTTCGAATTTCACCCCAACCTAAATGTGACCCTAGCAGCAAGCAATCGTACCTGCAACCTCATGCTCTGAAGTACAACACCATAGCCATGTGCGATGCAGCTGCATCACACGTCTCTCGCTTAAGAAGTACAACACTGTAGATTAATCTACGAAAGGGGTATTTTAAGGGCTCGTTTTTATTTGTTAAACAAACAGTTCTAATTCAGTTCTAATCTCAGACAAAAAGTTCTAATTAATGTAGTTTATTCTACTTAGGTAGTGTCTCCTTGTTTTGTCAGTACCACTGTCACAGTGCACCATTGTTTGAAGCTATACTAATTTTCATTTACAAGTTCTTGAGTTGACCGAAATTTCAGTTGCAAATGACATTACAAGCATGCAATAAATAATATAAGTTGCCATGTTTTAACTAGGAACTAATGTATAACACACATTCTTAGTTGCAAGGTGTTTCAGCCCGCGAACAAAAAAGAAAGAAGGACAGGATAGACAGAAAAAGCGCAGAAAAAAAAAAGCGCTCTTTCTGTCTACCCTGTCCTTTTTTCCTTTGTTCGCGCGCTGAAACACCTTGCAAATATGACTACGCACCAACTAGCCCAAGCTTCCACTCTTGTGAGACACATTCTTAATTACATGGGTGTTATCCACCATTAAATTCTCATTTCGTATTCTCCCCTATTCCACTTCCTCATCTTTTTTATTCACTCAGTGCAAACCACTTCATCAGAAATCATTTTTTAAATAGATGGGCCTCTCACAAGGTTTATATTTTAGCTTCTTTGGAAATAAGAAATTAATAAATATTTTATTAAAGAATTCAAGATAATTTTTTATCTCTATATTCAAGAAGCGCAACGCACCAGAAATTTTGCAATCAGAGACAAAACAGATTTTACTGATTAAAACATTTCATTTGGGCTCGAACTGGATACGCAAGAAAAGTAATGATGGCAAATAAATGATATAGCAATACTCTGTGATAAAATTAACATCATTCTAGTGCTTTCGTTGGTGCCGTCCTTCTTGCATGGTCGTAATGGCGACGACTAGACTTGTAGAGTGAGTGGTCCTTCCTGGTGACAGGCACACCTTTCTTAACTGTTAAAAATGTTTTCTTGTTCTTGGCATATATTCAAGGCTTCCGAAATTTTCCAGCTTTTCTTCTTATCTTGTTCCTAGCTGGTTTCATGCCGTGCCATAAAATCACTTCTTCTTTAAAGAATAACTTGGTGCTCAATATTTTCATTTACATCACCTTTTATTTCAGTTACGCTATCTTTCATGAAAGAAAGCCATGATACTAAGCGCATAAATTGAACTGAAAAACTAGGAGACAGAATCTTATTCTTTCTATTCAAGTTTTGGGGTACAATATCACGTCTTCCAGTAAGTACCAACTTGCCCAAAAAAGTAATTATAGAGCGAAAGCATGGTAGCAAAACAACTAAGTCATAAATGAAAGATTGGATGCGGACTTGTTGGTTGCTTTGTTCATGAGGTGTTGACATAGGCTGGTTTAAACCCCGAAACACTTTTTTAGCATGGTCAAAAAACGCTGCTGATTGATAGTTGAGGCCCCTGAGAACGTGCAAGCCAAACATTATGATGCAGCATGCTGCCTGGAATTAACAATTGATTCTCAAAGACAGCTAAGACCATTCTCTCTTCTTTCGAAAAATGACGCCATAAAATCAAGTCAAAAGCCATTGGCTGATTTGAGCATCATGAACTGCATAGGTACCATAGCCACTATGGAATGCTGCAACACACGCGCACACCTGCTCTCGATTACATGGAAAGTAAGCAGCAGCACGTTCAAAGCGAAGAAGAAAGGGAAAAAAGTGTTGAAGGACATGACATGCACTGACAAATGGCCGTAGCTTCTTGCCCCCTTGAACTCACCCCTCCTCCCACATGGTTTTTTAGCACACTTGCTGGTATGAAAGGAGAGAGAAAGCATTTGAAGTGTGCGAAAAATTTCAGTAACTCAGCTCGTACATGACCAATATTTAAAAAATTTTGTGGCAGTCAATTCGTAAGGCAATAAACTCCTTTAATAAAACAACTTGATGATTATTTGGAAAAGTTTTCCAAGGCTCCTTTAGTGGATCTGGCTCAGTTTTATTGTAACAGGTGTTGGAGTTGGCTCCTTTTTGATTTGAAACTGCTTTCTTTAGGTTCTACTATGATGCCATTATAATAAGAAATTGGCCCATTTTCATTGCAAATGTTTTTTAAAGTGAAAGACACTTGGGTGTGCTTTACGTTTCTTCAAAATTTAGCCCAGTTTTGGTTTCTGGACTTGGCTCTTTTAGAAGAAAAAAAAATCGTCATGTGCAAGTGGTAGTGGTGGTAAGATGGTGAGGAACTGAGCCAGCCAACCATTGGGAGAATGCATTCAATTCTTAAAAATTTTTCATGACGAAATATATTCCTTCATGAGAATCTTGAGGGAAATAGAGGCGAGCACTTATGCCTGTTCAACATTACTGCTTTTGTCAAACATTTTCACTGTGTCAGATGTAAAATAGCCGAATAAGCCTTTGGTAAAAACAAAATATATTTTGAGGAGTTGCTATACTTTCTAAAACCTAAGCACAGAGTTTTCCAGCAAAGCAGTCTGCAAAAAGTTGCATGGTAGGACACACATACCTTGTGTAGGAAGCATACACAGGCAAAAACAGGCCCATTACCCGGACAAGCGAAATCTAGGCACAAATTGTAGGCCAAAAAGCAGAAGCATTCTTACTTCACACTCTTTGTATGAAACAAGATGTTCACAAGACAACAAAACTGGCAAAATTGATACTATGACTGATAGTATTGCTTGCAATTAGAAATAATAAGTTCACTGACCAACACATGACATAAAACTTAAAATGCAGCCTACTCACCTGGCCACAGTGTGATCATAAAAGCATCTAAATCTTAGTTCACTAGACCCACCTTGAAAATAGCTTGGTGTGGGGAGCTTGAGCCTTCGATCAATATGTGAGGTGTAAAAGCATGAATTTCCATAGTCAACTGTAAGTAAAAAGCAAACAATGTTGGAATCATATCCTTTACAAAAACATTTGTAACTAACATGTCGCAAATATTTTTCACAACAGTATGTCAATGAACAGTATGATTATAGTCTAGCAACCTCTTACACCGACTCTGTCCTAACACAGGGGTCTCCTACAACAATCTCTCCGAATAACTTGACGTCTCCCCATACATCTGCAGCAGGTCTTCTATCAGTGTAATCTTAGTGGTAACTTGCCCTCTTTTAAGTAGGCACAACTTGAACTAATTAGGAGGGTGCTGAAATGCACATCAGAAGCTAAGGCTCTGTCATTATATGTGCATTCTTGAATAAAAAAATCATACACTTGATGCAAGCAGGAGTTTTTCATTTACAAGATCCTCAGTTGACTTAAATTCCACTTTGAAAATTAAAAAAAAGCTTTACTGATAAGAAAAACATTCATAATGCCCATCCTTATTTGCATATCTTTTGTATCATTAATTCAATACACCCAGCTTATAAAGCTTGCTAAGAACTTTCAATCACACACCTTACTGAAATTTTTAGACGTGAGGAAGTGTGCTGCAAAGAGAGCATTTCTTCTCCTCAACCCTCTCCACCAAGAAAAAGTATACATGACACATTGCCTAGTCCTTGAATGTAAACATTCGACAGATGTCTGTCTGGTTGGGTATGCAAACTGGGAACGATTTTAACCCCAACTAAAAAGTACGTGAAAATGCGTAAACTCGACATTTCAGAACCGACTTAGTTCATTCCTCAGGGGGGAAACTGGGGCTACATTGCAGCGGCGTCTTCAAGGCACTCGCGGTGCTGTTAATGACCCCCTCCCCCGTGTCCCGTTTTGCCGCGGAGCGTAGTCCATGTGCATACACAGGGGGGAGGGTCCCGAGAGAATGGTTGATGTTTTGGGTCGTTCGCTGTATATGCCACGACTCAAGTAGTAATCTTCTCCTCCAGTTAGTCTTACTTTCAAGGATGCTCATTGCGTCAAAATTTATCCGGTGGTCAAACGTCTCAAAATGCTCGATGACAGTGCTGCGCTCTTTGTAGAGCTTCCAGGCATCGTTGGTGTGTTGTTTGAATCGTTCCGGTAGGTTTTTTGTCTCGCCGAAATACAAAGAAGGGCACTCGGTGCATGAGATTTTGTGAACGACACCGGGAGTCCTGTTCATTGTTGGTCGGTCTTTCGGGCGGGGGAGGAAGCAGCCCAGCATACATGAAGGCACGTGCGCGATGTGAACTTCTTTTTTGAAGACCCGCGCCAACCTCTCGCTGGTTCCTTGGATGTATGGGACTGGTACGAGTTTCAGAGGGCTGTCAATTAATGCTGATCGGGGTTTCTGTATCCTCTGTTGCTCTGCGCGGCCGGTGATGGCTCGTTTGAAGTTTTTTGGGTATCCATTTTTCCTGAGGTCTGCAATTATGTCGGACTCTTCTTTCTTCGTTCTGTGTCATTGGAGCATATGTTCTTGGCTCTCTCGAGTAATATGGTCACAAAGGAAGCCTTGTGACAGGCCAGATGATATGAATCATAATGAAGGTAGCGGCCGGTGTGTGTTGGCTTCCTGTGAACGGAGAACTCCAAGCCATTGTGCTTTCTTGCCACCAGGACATCGAGAAAGGGCAGGCTGCAGTCGCTTTCACACTCGGCTGTGAATTGTATGGCTGGGTGCATGGAATTGAGATTCCGTCTGAAGTTTACAATTTCAGACGTCGACGCAAAAGCAATCGTCCATATCACGAAGAAAGAGCTTGGGTCCCGTTGAGAAGGAGCTGAGTGCTTTCTCTTCTATGTGCTCCATGGTCAGGTTTGCCATCGTGACGGAGATAGAAGCTCCCATCGCGGTTCCACTGTTCTGTCTGAACATTGTTGCTTTGTAGAAGTACATACTAGACAGGCAGAATTCCACTAGATGGCAGAGCTCGTCAACAGCCAAAGGAGGTTTTTCACTCAGGCTTGCCCGTGCTGCGCTTGAGAGTGACGCAAGCTTGATGAATACCTTCAGTATATTCTCCATCACCTCACCCTCATTCAGATCTGTGAGTTGGTTGGTGCTTGCTTGAGCAATGTCCAGGTAACTTGGACAACTTGCTCCCATAGCACCTTGAGGCAAAATACAAAGATGATCCTAGGTGCATCTGCATATTTGCCCTAGCTCTGTGATCACCACGTGGGACCTTGAAGTGCCTGCTGTGTTTGCAACAAGGGTTGGACTCCAGCTGCTTAGCAAAGTTTTGCACACTATGGCAGCTAAACGGTCATGTAATTCTGGCAGTGTACGTGGTTTAAGATTTTTTTTTTCTAGTGCATTCCTTTAAAGCACTTTGTCACCATTTCTTGTGGTACTGTGCAAGACCTCAGGTGGCTCCTGGCCATAGGGAACAATGATCTTTTCTACCACCCCATGATATGCTATACTGCTACTCTCAGATGAGCATCCCTTGGAGTGTTCTTCCACTTGATATGGACCAGACAAAGAGACACTCTGTTGCAACAACACTAGGTGAACAACACTTTCACCTCTTGCATTACTCATTCTACCATTTCATTTGCTTCGGTTGGTAGCAACTTTAGGTTATTAGTCTAATCTAACAATTCACCAAGAAGTCCTTGAAAGCTTTTCCACTAAATCATGACTAATTATCACTGCGGAGCCTCAAAAGATTACCACCACAAAAATTTTGCATCTTGTTTTTCTGTTGCGATAAGTAGGTAGTGACCGACTTATTGCAGCTGAAAACCTCATTGGCTCCAGCACACACGGGTGGATTATAGGGAGACATATTTATAGTGCCCAATTGCGGTTATGATTTTAGAGAGCACCAAAAAGAGCGGCAATAGCATGCTTTTATTATAAACGCAGCTAGCCACATGACCACACAACACCATACCGTACAAGTCTTGTACAGAAATGTATGCCATGCATTGTCTTCCTTGTCCAGGAGTTGTGAAGACTGCATGACGAGTCATAAGACCTAAAGCAAGGCACATAGCCAGTAGTTTTTTGTTTACAATCGAACTAATTTTATGTGAATGTTGCGGCGAGCTGCATTTCGAGCTCATCTGCATGGAGCATTAACACTGATTTTAGACAGAGGCTCATTTACTATTGATAGTTTATAGATGATGTGTGTGTACCCACACAAATTGGTATTACAGGTTATCTTACATTCAAAAACCTGTTATGCCAGTAGCTCTTTAATGATTCCCTATTAGGTGGCAAGTAGTACATTCCTATGATTGCATGCACCACCTCCTCTCTTGGTCTCATGTCTAAACTGCTCCCTAAGTATGGTGGTTGCTGCCGTATGGATGAGCAAACTTAATTCGCCTGTTAATTACATCACTGTGCCACGATTGATGTAGAATCATGCACATAGACCATTTAAAGCCACACCTGAGCCCTTTGTGTCCACACTTCAAATCACTGGTATGACCTCAGCTTTTTTCACTTTTTCCAGCTTTTTTCTATATATATATATATATATATATACAGAAGAAACCAAAATTTTGGAAACTCTTGAGCTTCGCCTTCAAGAGTAGAAAGCGGCAGCGTAATAATTCCCCACTCACCTCCCCTTCTCAGTCACTAGCCTGACTTCCCATCTCGCTGCACGTCCCAGCCATGCCACAAGAAAAATAATGTCTATGAATGTAATGTAGGCCCTTTCAAACTACAGTCAACTCTTGTTAATTCAAACTCGAAGGGACCTGTGAATTTTGTTTGAATTATCAAGAAGTATGAATTATCAGGTGTTCTCAGATATATGACTGTCAATGAGGTGACACCACACATTAGGGTTAGGCATTGATTTCACCACATTTAAATACTTCAAAGCGTTTTAAACCTTTACAAAAACCTTTACTATACGCAATGAACAGAAAGTCTAGGTGTAAGTTCCACAAGTTTAACGGTCATTTACTCCTGATCAGGCCTCCTAATGAAGTTGTGAGTTGCCATTTGCTTCTTTGCTATATGTGCCTTCAGCACAAAGCTCTCTTTACGAGTTGAGAAGCATCGCTGTTTACGATGTGTGTGCTTCACTTCAAACATTTGTTTACTAGCAAAGCGTTTTTTTTTTTTTTGAAAGCCTGAAATGCTTATTTTTCATTTTTAGACTGTGAGGACGATGTAAACACCCAAATTTTTAAATAGTAGTGGGAAAGCAGCAGATATTTTCTGATATGAAACCACAAAAGTATGAATTAACCGAATCATGCAGTTTGAATTAAGAGGCTTCTAAATACATTGAAATTACAGAGAGCCAGCCAAAAAATTGAATTTTGTTTGAATTAACAAAAAGTATGAATTATCAGAGTTTGAATTATCGCGAGTGTACTGTACTCTAAAATGCCTACTGCAAAAAAGCTGTGAATTGCCCACTATGCCATAATTCTTTATTTTACCGATTTGCAATACACCCACAACACTTCCATAAGGCAGCGCATGCACCTGCACGTCAGTCCACTTTGTTGATGCTGTTGTGAATAATAGAAATAATTAGGCATTCGAGCTTTATAATGGGTAGGCCTTTAAACCAGCTATTCATTGTGCAAATACATAATATGTTTTTGCACCTGGTAAAATTCTATGCTTTTGCTATGCAATACTATATGTATTAATGACACCACTTTCACAACTTAATACTATTCATATAGTGTTTTTTTCCCCCAAACCAACTTCGTGCATGGGTGTAGCTCTGTGGTAGAATTCCTGCTTGACATGCAGAAAGCCTAGGTTTGATTCCCACTGGAGCCAAAGTTTATTTATTATTTCTTTGCATCTTTCTCAATTTTTCAGCCACAGATAACACTTATTTTTCAGCTTACAACCAACAGGACCGCCAAAATTGAAATTTTTGAAAAATAAGCTTTTTAGCGCGATTGCATTAAAAGGAGGCCAACGAAGGCACAAGCAGCATCACCAGAGCAGCACACAAGATAGGTACCTGACCTGAGTCATTGCACTCTTTATTGTGAAATTGCTAT